TTTTTTTTCCCATGCCCCCATCGACACAATTTGGATCATGAGAGAGACGGGCTTGGACCCCAACTATCACTGTCACAGCCAACCTGGGCTTAGCAGAGGGATACAATGAATGCTCCAGCAGAAAGACCGAGATACTTGATAAAAAGTCTCCCCATTCAGGAATTGAACTTGGGTCTTCTGCATGTCATGGCAAAGTGCCTAACCGCTACACCACAGACTCAAGTAGGATAGGTTTTGCTGCAGATTGTTAAGATGGTGGCCGAATTTCACCACTGACAGATCGCGATGGTGGTAACATAAACTTTTTAAGTAAGGCACTATTTAGTCAAATTAATTTGAAAATTATTATTAATTTAGCAATTCACAAATGGCATGTGGCATGATAAGAAAGGTTATGAGTTGCCAAACAAATGGTGTACAGTCCGTGCCGGTTTTAAGCACGCCGGCTTAAAGCACGTTTCGGACTCAAGCACGCTAAACGGCTCTTACCAAATTTTTGCTATATAAATTACACGCCTTTAAGCACGGTAACTTCGGCTTCAAGCACGCTTCATTTACAAGACAGTCAATATTTTCATGTGACCCATCGAAGTTCGAACACAGTCTACACCGCAGCAGTGGGGTGTGTCAAGAGAAACACAAAGAACGCAAGTGATGGATATACACACACTCACACGGGTGGAGAGGAAGGCAGAGAGATGCACACAGCCGCGCGCGCGGACATAGGATGTAGCCTAGGCCTAGGGCAAAGCTACACACGACCAAAAAAAATACAAAGAGTCGGGGAGACGAGAAAGGAAGGCTGGCTGCAATTTCACCTTTGACCCTCCCTATCCTTTAATCCTGATTGTGTATCACGCACGAGGTGGGATGAAGGCGGTGGTATGAGTGGCACAGCGGGCAGTGGTATGCACAGGCAGTGTGTAGGCCTAGTGTGCTGTATCATGACTGGCCGTCTAAATTAAGTTTTTATTTCCCATTCGACCACAAAACAAAAACAAACAAGCGAACGATGGCGGGTGTCTAAATAACAGAGCACACTTTTGCAGGACCGCTATAGGCCTACTTACAAACAAAGGGAAATAGCACGGGAAATTTTCTACATGAAAATCTCTGGATTATGTCTACTTCGCACTCAAGCACGCTTCGGCTTTAAGCACGCTTAAGCTTTCTCCCGACGACCGTGCTTAAAGCCGGCATGGACTGTATCATAGCAGTGAAATTAGGTGCTCATCAAAATAATGAGCCTGAAGAAAACATTTTTCCGCCTGTCAGGCAATTTCTAACTTTATATTTTTGGCTCAACACCTTTTATGTCCCTTCAAATATACATTTCTTTGTGGATTTTTTTGAAAAACATTAATCAAGGACATTAAAAAAGTAAATTTGCAGTTTTCAAGGACACCCAAGCTTTGGAACTCACCAAACCTTGTAGACCAATTTCTCACTAATTGTACCTCCCACACTCGGTGACCCCCCATCTCCTTGCAAATACTTGACTTCTATTCAAAATAGATGGGAACTTTTTTCACCAAAGCCAAAAGCAAGACATACATGTGAAAAAGCTTTTACATGACACTGATAACTCCATGTGCCCAGAAATTGACGAGCACTAGATTCCACCGAGCTGCGACACAAACGGTGCATGGCACGATGTGAAAGGTCACGAGAGCCACCGTAGTATATTTCCAGAATTTTGAAAAGAAGTGGCAGTGCAGACCACCCCCTTAACTCCAACAACCCGCATACAAACAAGTGAGAGTGAGAGCTTTACCTTGCGGAGGAGACTGGCGGTTTTCTCTTGGCGTTGGCGGCTGTGGCAGAGGAAGAGGCTGTGGGCTGGGCCTGAGCACCTTGGACTTTTCTGTACAAACAAACAACAACAATATATATATATTATATCAAAACATCTTTTTCGGTAGATCTGCTTGATGGGAAAAAGTTTTTGTTTTAGACAGGCAGACATCTTGGACAATGTCATTATAATATTTAAAAATGCAAGGGTGGGAAGTGGTTAATTGTATATCTGTGACTGTCTTGAATAAATAGCCTTTACAGTAGGTTTGACAAAATTTTGTTTATTATATAAGCAAAACCCTCTGCTTCAACTTCGGACATAATATTCTATTTCTGCACTAACATTTTGTATAAGAGCCTTTTCTTTACAAATTTGTTTGCAAATCATTTCTAATCCTGTAAGGTTGATGCAACAAATCTTAACGCTGTTTTTGTACGTACTTGCGGTCACTTTTCCCCTTGAAGATCTTGTTGAGATCCAGGGGAGAGGAGGCGACTTTGACCACATGGTCAGTGTGAAGGCTGTGGTCAACTGTACCCTCCTCGTCCACTTCCAGTCGGATCGGGGCAAACATGTTGAACCATTGCTGGATTGGCAGAGACAAATATAATTGTGATTATAATTGAAACTCTCCAAGACAGCCTCTCGTTATTGAGGAGAAAAACGGTTGTCTTAGACAGGTGAATTTAGTTTTAGTAGAGGTTTTACGGCGCTCGCAACTGCGTAAGATCATATGAGCGCCAGAAGATTAGAGGTGTTACAAGAGAGTAACAAACATAAAAAAGAAGAAGGGAAGATAAGGACGATAGATGTTTGATAGGAAAGAAGAAGCAAACCACACCAGAGCACCCGCCAACCACCCACACAGGTGACTGTCTTGGACAATTTCATAATGTAGCAAAAAACACAAAGGGGGAAGTGTTTGTTGTACAGGTGATCGTCTTAGACAGGTAGCCGGTAGGGCGACTTCGACAGCACAGTCGACTACGGATCGGTTGATGTCGTCAGGGGAGTGAAAGAAAGAACTGTTCACCCGAAGTTCAACTTAATTGTTGGGACATGTAAAAAAAAAAGGAGATGCCGGGACCAGAGAAAAAGATCAACATAACCGAAGATCAAATTCAAGTGAGGTCAACGCTAGTGGAGTCGACTGTAATTGTAAACTTTTTATGCTTCCATCAACACAATTTAGATCAATAAGGACAAAGGCTGCTTGTAATAGACTTGTACATTGCCCGTCAAGGCCAAACAGGGTTAAGTGGGATACACTGTCCCAGCACACAGATTGAGACTAGTGGTGGGCAAAATCAGGATAACCTATCCAGATAACTGGATAATTCTCCATGAAACGTTATCCCAAGTCAGACTCTAAAACTCTCTTTCCTAACCCGTTTGGGGAAGTGGGTGCACCCATTTGTTGACGTGGTTCTAACCCGTTTTTTAAAGTGGTTTTAACCCATTTGCCGAAGTGGTTCATAACACATTTAATTGCCGAAGAGACACACTAACATATTATCCGGATTTTGCTAAAGCGATTCATTGCCCAGCCCTAATTGAGACATTCATAAGAGGAACTTCGCCATGTGGGAATCAAACTGTAGAGTTCCGCAAAGAGCTTAATCACTACATTACAGAAGCTTGTCGATAAATAGGCTTACACGAGAGGTGGAAACACTGCTTGGGGGGAAAAAGCAGTGGGTTTTTTAATATATATATATAAACTGCTAAAAGGTACAGTACATTTAAAAGTGTAAATCCGGGCAATATCTAGAAATGCCTTAGGAGCTACCGTGAATAATAAATGATTGTCAGTATACAGATTTACAGTAGGATTTAGGCATCCTCAAAGTCAAGGCACCTATTTTTATACAGCCGTATATTCCCATCACCGTCATTATGAGAATGCGTTTACTGAAATCACTACACAAAAAACTTGATGTCATAGCTTGTTCACCGCACTTAAACACATGTCGTTTGAAACATGGTCCAATAGTCAGAGGAGTACTTTTCTACATCTAATGGTCTAGTGGGTAAAAATTATGTAATTAAACTGAAATGTGGCGGTGCAAGATGGTGTTACTGTCTCAAAACTCAAAATGAGCAAGTTGTAGGACAGGTATATCACATAGTGACTATGTGTATACCCCCAAAGTGCAATGTTTCATATAGGACCCAAATCAAGAAACTTTTTAACTACTGGATCAAGAATTTTTTTTATAAATATATTTTTGTTTAGTCGCTGGCCTACAGAAGTGCCATGCAAAATTAAGTGCAAATTGGCAAATCAAAGAGAGATAGAATATATTTAATCCTGACAGATAAAAGTGAGCAAGCTACAGCATCCAGCCGTTCAGGCTTACCTTGGACTGTGGAGGAAGGCCAATGTCTGAAAAGGCAAACTGCCACTGTGGCAACCCCAGATGCATCAGCATGAGTCTGTAGTAGGCCAGGAAAGAGTCGCACATGTAATGCCAATGTAAGGACCTATCCAAGAACCAGATCTCTGTCACAAACTCAGACGCTGTGGTGAGAAAAAAAACTGACACCATCATTTCTCCAAATTTCGATTTCCTGATGAGAGAAGTGCTTAGGCCCAAAGCTCTCAAAAATCATAAGATAATACGTATATCAAAAGCAACCACAACTGCCTCAAAGAGAAGACATGACTGAACACTGTAATGATAGGAAATATAAAATGCTCCCCATCAGCACAATTGGTCGCTTTTAAGGACAAGCTAGCGAACCCAGATTTCGGGGGTTTCCAGAAATCTTGACCCACACCAAAAGGGGGCATTGCCCTCCCTATAGCAGAAATTTGGTTTCATTGGTGTGTATATTTGTTTGGTTATAGAAAAAACTCTCCTTTTATTTTAAAGAAACTGAACATGGGGCAAAAACTTTACCTTCAATTTTCTCAAAACAGCATTTTTCGGGATAGTCCCCTTGTGGTCAAAAGCGACAAATTTAGATCATTTAGGAGGAGGGAAAAATAGAGGAGGCATCTCATCAACAACAGCAGTGTATTTACAGTGGAGTCGGCTTAAACTGAACACGATTAGTCTGAAAACAGTGAGAAATTGAAAGAAAATACAATTCCCAATTTTTCTTCTATTTAAGTAACCTCTCTCAACTGAAAATCTCAATAAAACCACCAAAAAAAACCACACAAAAATCTGGCGCCCCGCAGATTTCAGTTTACCCCGACTTTGTCGTCTGAGAAAAAAATGTAGGCTACCCATCACTAAAAGATTGGAATCATTTCAATTCTAAAGTTCAAGTGTCTATAATGTATGGATAACAAAATGTGTTTGATTGTTTGTATGAGTAAAGAGAAGGACACTGATGACACAATTATGGTCACTTAATGCAGGTAAAAAGCAAGACAGATAGACTAGAAAAATAGAAGGGGGGAAAAAGAAGTTGGACTTACCAGTGGTACCCTCCAACCTCCCATATGAATGTGTTTACTTTCGTCTAGCAAATGTTTGCATAATGTGGATCAGATACAGGAAATCAGACAGGCGATAGATACACTCATCAGTAGTCACTCGGGTATAAAATAATTTCTAGGCCAGACGCTGATTATCTTTACAGTACATCAAGTTTTTTAAAGGGTAAGTTAGGAGGGCTATATAGTAACCTGCTAGCAGATTAATTTCTATACCCTGAAAATGTCTCTGAAGGACTTCAACATGAAGCACTCGACATGGGAAAGTCTAACTCCTAACAGACCCAGTGGGCCAGCAACAATCCCAGTGGGCAGCAAGTCACTGAGTTTGAGACACATAGAATCTATTAGAAATGCTGAAACCAAGAGAGAAGCCCGCTAGCTGCGCACATCAACAAGAGGAAATTAAACTTTTAAATGCTCAAAATATGGCAACCTCTCAGCCGGAATTGGTCTCATTGGCCACAGCAGAAGTGACAATAATTTGCATTTAGCTTTATGTGAGTACATTTTTTAACTACTACACTATGTTTCAGGTTTGATATGAAGAAAAAATCCCCAACAATAACAAAAAAACAAAAACAATTAAGAAAGACTTTTTAAAATTGAAATTGGAAGAAAATTTGAAGACAAAAAAAGTATGAAAACCTAAAACAACCGAAATAGTAAGGTCAGTAAGGAGATCCTTTACACAACTCTAGCTATCTGTACACATTTGTTTGTTGAAGAATCTTTGTTTGAGTAAATACTAAAGAGAATCACATAAATACAATAATGGTCACTTAGTACAGGGAAAAAGTAAGACTGACAGACAGACAGACAGACAGAGAGACAGAGAGACAGACAGACGGTAGCAACAGTGGGAAAGTAAAGAAGTAGGGCCTACCACCAGTGGTGTACTCCAGCCACCTGCCATTTGTACACAGGATGGCTTTACCAAACTAAGTACAACTATGTTGAAGTCAAGTCAATCAACCATGAGAGTATTGCAGTAGTGACAATATGATGTACTTGTGTACAAAAAAGCATGATAATGATAAATCTAGATCTATATGTGCAGCTATGTTATGACTACTCCTATCTTTCTGGAGCCTGTCAGTATGGTACGAAGAATATGAGTCTGGGACAAAAGTATGAAACAATTCTTCACATAACTATAAGTGTGATTATGTGGTTAAATCAGGGGCTCGTTAAAATGATAACATCCAAGTAAAAATTTATATTTTTCGCACCAATTTTTTAAAAAATGAATGCCTATTCAAAAACATATTTCTGAGTGGATTTTACTGAAATCGTTGATTAATTAAAGGCTCAAAAATGGTAAATTTGCAGTTTCCAGGGACACCCAAGTTTTGGAATTCACCTAATTCTGAAAAGACATTTCTCGCTAATTTGACTTCTAAAACCAGATGACGACCCCCACCTTCTTCAATCACAAACATCTTGACTTTTATTCAAGATGAGATAGGTATTTTTTTCATTGAAAGCAAGACAAATGAACAGGCTCTAAGGTTATACAAATAAATCCATATGCCCAAAAATAGACGAGGGCCTGATTTCACAGTATCATTCCTCATATGTCATCGACAACTCAGATCTTTCTAGGAAAGAGAATATCAGACAAGACTTGTGTCACAAAACTGTATGTACACCTATGACACTATGTTATTAACAACGATTATCAGCAACTCAGATCTTCCCAAAGTTCAGTAGAGAGAAAGAGCTGAAAGATAAGTATGAAAAAACTATATCTATTTATAAAGTCTAGTATTTGTACATAAAGCAAACAGATTTTCAAATCTGAATGTTTTCTTATACACGTACATCATCATCCAGTGCCAGATCTGCGACAGACATCGGCGATCATGATTTTCCATTCATTTCTTTGCTCGGATGCTCTCAGAAAAGCTACGTTTCCCTGATTTTTCCCTGTTACCCATTTGTTTAGGTTCCCTAAGTATGTTCTTCTGGGCCTACCCCTGCATTCTTTGTATTTAAAACACGTATACAGAAATTCAAATATAGTGCAAACTTTTTCCGTGTCCCGCCGATTTCGCAATATATATATGAATGCTAGATTGTATGTACAGCTATGTGGAACACAAGCCAATCTTCCCCGAGACTGAGAGTTTCAGAATACTATGGAGAACAAAACTCTGTAGGATACGCAAGTATGACATATATCTATCCGTACATCTATATTATCAAGATCTCAGATCTTCTTTTTAAGTGTGTGTTTCAGTACCCAGAAGAGAGAATATGAGACTAAAACATAAGTACAGGTATGACAAAACAATGTACAACCATATTATGTATGTTATTGACAACTCAAACCAGCCTTAAAAGTGTTTCAGTATAGACAAAAATGCAAATATGAAAATGTCATCTACATACATTAAATATGTTTTACTAATGTATGGTACTAACAACTCAAACCTTGCTTAATGTTTCAGTAGAGAGTATACAAGACAAGAATGCAGATGTGAAGACATCTTGTATACATTACATACATTTTACTACAATAACAAACAATAGTACCATGTGTCCTCAGCACACAGACACAAAAAGACCAACAAGGCATGTAAATACAAACAGTCCTTTAGAATTGTTGGAATGTCATATATTATCAAGATGTCTAGTAAAGTAAGCATTACTTCATAAAATCACCAAAAAATATGTGGTGTGATTTCAAGAAAGTTGTTAATTGAAAAAAACCCAACAATTTACCAACTATTGAGTGCACATATAAAGAGTACAAGATTAAGAATAAAGTTGGCGAAAATAAAGTTGAGAGCCCGACGTCTTTGTGCATCATGAAGATCCCAGTGTCCAGTTTCATGTTCTACTAATGACTATGACACACAACTGTCACCACCACAACCCCCACAGTGACCCTGGAAATTGAGCACAAGGTCAAGCAGTTTGAAACAAGGGGTTCAACTTTACTTTAACCACAAAGATGTATCTTTAATTCATATATATATGGGCAGAGATTTGAACTAGTGAAGGAAAAAAGAGTTTCTCATCGGAAGCTGTGCTAGTTGAAGGAATGACCAGACAAATCAAACTGTTATGGTCTGGGAATTAGAAATGGGACCCAAAATTCCAGGCTCTGCAGTGTTAGTTTGGGGAAGTGTCAGGGGAGATCACGGAGCACAAACTTTTACTACCAGACAAAAAGGGAAAGAACTCTTCTTGCTGCACCTACTCTACTATAAGTATACCATATGATATATACTGACTTGTCCCATAATGGTCTCATTTATTATAACCAAAATCAATATCATTATGAAAAGCTGAGCTTTTCTTACATGTAGTGTTTCATAACTAAAGAAAACCGAGAAAAAAACTCTGCTAGGGAAAATGAATCTCAAATGCTGATTTTCTCCTAAATAAAAATGTTGCTCAATTCGTGTTTTACGTAATCATGTTTTCAACAGATATAAGATAGAGTGACAAGGGCAGATCATTCTTTACAGGAAAGCCAGCTCATTTGCCACCAGCGTTTCATGTGCGTAAATTCTGCAACTATCTTACTTATTTTAGGTTTTTAAAAAAGTAACTTTTCATAACTTAAGAGAAAGAAAATCTCCACTGGGGAACGGGTATCTCAAACATCTATTTTCTCCTGAATAAAAAGTGAAGCAACTCCCAACTATAAGTACATAATGTACAACTACAATGGAATGCCAAACAAAACTTCTAGCTTAATGGTCTACACAAAAACAAAAAAAGGCAGACACAATTCTGATCCTTGTCAGGAAAGTTTTTTTATAAAGTGTCCTGGAAACAGCTCACTCTTGACCAGTGTTGATCGGGAATTAACTACCTAAATCATTGAAATTGTTTCTAAAAATGAAGCATAGCGTCATGATATGGTATGGTATGATGTGCATTTAATACCCCTATTAACGCAATAAGGTTATTAACCCTATCCATACATCGTGTTTTACTATCGTATTCATACGACGTGGGGCACATTGTGCGCCCACTTTCCAAAGAGGAAATTTACTCGTTAATCCGACCCATATGCTTTGCAAAGCAGTCTGTCAAAATGATTTTTTGAGAAAAACTGAAAGTTTCAAAGAGATCTTCGTAATACAAGTATTCTAAAATGTGAAGAATACAACCCCAGGGGTACAAAATGACCCCAGGGCGTAGAGATAGGGTTAAACAGGCGGAGTATCCGAACTTAATATATTTGTCTGATAAAACTGAGCCAAACAAATGAAGACTTCATCAAGCTCATGAAAACCAAATCAGGGATTTGACCCATGGCCATAGGCATCTTGTCAAGCATGATACTTACTGTGCAAACAGCACACCTCAAGATTAGTAAATTTTTTAACTAGCAGGATTAATACCAAACAAATTTTGCAAATGCAAATTAGGTAGCTTCATCTGGCTATATTTCGGCCGAACACTGGCAGATTGTTTTTAAAAGCTGCAGAGATGTTAAAAGAAGCGGCATATCACTTTCAGCAATCTGTACATCATAAATCAGTTGTTGAGGCTATTGTCAAAGCCAAATAACTATATGAGAAAACAATTATGGAGCAAGATACAAACCCGGGTCTTCACAGGCTGTGCAAGGCGAACAAAACGGCAGCAAATAGGTAAGAAATTTTTTAAAACAAATTTACACAACACCTAACCTTTCTAGCTTACGTTATCCTTTGCTTAGATAACCCAATTTGGCACAACCCTTTCAACTATCAAATTAACCACTGACTGGAAAATTCCACATCCCAATATTTGCCTGTTTTTGAGGTTTTAAACCATCCCTTAGGCAAATTGGACTTGGCACATTTCCAATCTCCAGATACTAGAAGAGTTAAGTCAAAATTTTAAAAACTTGAACATTTCGCGTCACATTTTGATTTGAATTTTTAAATTTTTAAATTCAAGATGTCTGAAAGTTAATTTTAAAAACGTCTCCCACATGATTCATATCATGTCTGTATCTTTCATTTGCTCTGAATTTTTTGCTTTTATTCACACTGGTAGTCTAAACTCTTTTTTAAAGAAAACAAGGTGGACCACTGTTTACGGTTTATGAAATAAAATATTTATGATAAATAAGTGAACATTTTTTAAACTGGAGTTCATGTTTCACAGTGTTTGTTTTTGTTAAACCAAATAAGATGTTCTAATCCCAAGATTATCTTTGGAAAAAAGGGTAACACCACAAACCAAAGTACACATACATGATAGTTTCGATGAAAGCTACAAGCTTGGTTGTATTTCATCTGAAGAGAAGCAATAAAAGAATAGACCTACTTTTAACTTCAAAACTTCAACTTGTGATACTTTCACTTCTAATAATAAGGAAAAAAGCTCTCAAGCTGAAGAAACTAGCAATACTCCCCCCCAACTTATTCAGCTCCGCATCTCAGAAAAAGCAATACCATAATAAAGAGAGGGGGTGCAATCATCTCTTTTAAAACAGCATTGAGAAAAAACAGTACGCAAAAATGCTGCTACTAATACAGAGCCACGCCATATGTAGACAAATAGAGGAATACAGCATAAATAGAGCAGTGGTGAGAGAGTATACCGTACAGACTGGGGCGTGGATAACTCATACCATGAGGAAAGTGAAAATCAGAATCACTGTCTCCACTGTCGCTCTCAGAGCCTGAGCCACCTATACATACAGTGGTGATTCAGAAGCTACTCAATAATCAAGAAACATATTTTCCTAATTCAAGGGGTGTCTTCGGGGATATAAATGGGACGCCGTCAAACCAGTTTCACATTTTAAAATCTGACATTTCATGTTTTCAATAGAACTGCATTGTAGAAAGTTCAATAACAAAAATCAAACATAAATTTCGAGGACAAACTGCACTTTATAATATAACACAAACTATCATTTTCAAACATTTTTAAGAGAAACATTTTTTTCTAGCTGAGAAAGAATGAACTCACATTCAGTAGGGTCAAAAAGACTTTAAAATATATTTTGTAATCTTTTGGTATAGTCCCTTCTGTTTCGGAAGTATTTAAAAATTGTGTTACTTCATCTTACTCAAAGTGGAGGTATTACTATTTTGCTAACCAATTTGAAAGTAATTTTTCTTCTATGTCTCCTCCTGTTATCGAATGAAGTGTTGTATTACAGATGAGTAGCATCAATACATGTAGTACAGGTTGCATGGTGGTGTGAGAAAGACATACAATAAACCTTATTTTCTTCACTTGTAGGTCATTTATTAACTCTTTATCTCCGTCGAGCCGCTGCCAGCGGCTCGCGGTCGGAACTACTATGCTGATAAGCTGCACAGCGGCTCGTAAACATTCCTTTATATGATGACTTTGACATCAAATTACTTTTTAGTAATTGCCGAAAACAAATTTCTTTTATCGGAAGTTCATTCATTAGATGAAGAACTATGAAAATAGGTCGACTTGTTTTGAATTAATTACCCATTTAGTGGTGATTTTGTTATTTTAAAATTTAGTACCAAAACAGGGCCCTGCGTAGTGGGTTTACCCCCCACGGAGATAGAGAGTTAACACAACACAAAAGGAAAATCCACATTTTACATGATAACGTACAGTCTTTTGAGAGCAATTTATATCAATGCAATAACAAAAAAGATAGCACATAATGACATTTGTACAAAATTCTAAGATTAAACCACAATACCATAAATAAAATCATTTTTACCTAAAATGAGTACTGTAGACTTTGTTGGCAGCTCGGCATGCGTATCAACTAATAAAAATTGGTTATTCAAGGACTGGCACCTCATCTGAACAGTAAGAAAGATGTCGTTTGACTGTCACAACCCTGAATATTTTATAACACCAACTGTTGCAATCTTGAATTCTTTATTAACTCATTCAGTGCTATGGACGAGAATACTCGCGAAACCTGGGTCCCACCCACCTACTAGCGACGAGTATTCTCACATTCTGTCTCGCCATCTTTATAGAAAGAATTACTCTAATTAATCCATACCAAGCTATTTGAACTAATTATGAAGCATTATGGGAAAGGTCAAGGAGAGATTTTCCCTACTCAAACAGCCATTGAGCTTGCTAGTTTTGATTGATTTTCCTGGGTAAACCTAATTTCATGTTGCCATACCAAAACTGCCCAGTATGTGAGGGGAGTTCGCTGCTGGAGCGCTCAGCACTGAATGAGTTAATCTGACCCTTGGATACTTGATTCCATCATCTATCAAAGACAAAAACTCACCTTGGCTGGTCTCATTGTAGACAAGACAAACTTTGCCATGCCCATCACAAGGATCCAGTTCGAAGATTCTGCTGTCACAAAAACTGGGTGGCTTTCTTCCTGAAAAAAAGGTTGAAAAAGACAAAATCAGAAATGACGCAATAATATTTTGAAACAAATCTTGGTTAGAACTATGCGATAAAAAATCATCAAAATCAAGAAAACTATTGGGGCAAAAAACAGATGGGCACATCTTAAAGTGGTATGGCTAATTCATTGATTTTGTTCATGAATTATCCAGATAAACCTAAATGCTTAAGAAATTATTCCAACACCTATAACCTTCAATGATATTTTTGCTTTTATTAATTCATTCGGGACGCATCGGACGTACGTCTGATAGCCTTGAGCTACGTTGGAGACAAATCGGACGTCTGATAGCATTTCTCGGGCGTGGTGGCAGCACAAAATGGAGGTATTCCGGTGAACAAACTTTTGTTTGACATTGCTAAACCCTATTTATTTTGTATCTATTTACCCTTGATCGTATAGCATAGTTTTTTATTTCAAATTTTTCTGTGGAGGTTTGTGATGGCAGTCGAGGCGACAAAGAACACGGATCTTTGAGGAGTACCATACAAAGAGGAACTATTCACAGTGACTGGAGCTATTTCTTCACAGTATTTGGATTGTAAATTGGGTTGTGATTGTTTGTATCTGCATTTCTTCACTGTCAACCTAGAGGGGAAAACATTTTTTGGGGGTCTCATAAAAAAATGTTGTAGGGGTCCTGGCAAGTTTAGGAATATATCCAGGCAAATTGGATTAGATCTAAGGCAAAGTCCAAATGTTGAATGAGTAGATAGTGAAAACAGACTTTAAAAATATCAAAAGGAAAAAAATGGCAGACTTTCAAAGTCGACCCAAAATCGCGCGTTTCTGGGTGCAAAGCTGGTCCAACACCTGCGTCCTGAATAAGTAAAGAATCCCCCCCTCCCCCAACTTTATTTTGAAAAAAGGCTATTTCCCGCACATAAAAAGAAGCCAAAAAAAAGTAACATCACTGATATCAATTAAGTACAGATTAAGAAACATGGGTAGAACTCAGCAATTGAGAAAGATGACAAACTGTGGTAGAACTCAGTAATTTAGACAAATGAACAGCTCTGGTGATGTTATGTGGAGCTCCCGCTGTCAAAAGCAGCAACTGAGACAAAAGATAGATGAGGTCAAAAACTCCCCTCCAGGAGATCGTTGAGTGACAAACCTCCGCTGAGATCCTCATCCATGTCAAGGTCCCAGAGAGAGGGCTGAACGTGCGTTCCCTCTCGCACCCCACCGTCAAGCTTCAACAACATCCCCACACTGTTTACGTGCATTGATCCCACAGGAATAGTCAAGTCTGTAACAAACAGGACATGTTCTATTATGTGTGCCAGGAAAACTTCACATCTGATAAAAAAAAAAAAATAAAGTCTAGTGACACAGACAAGGAGTTTAATATATATGAAAATATTTGATTAACAAGTGAAGAACATGTAAAAGCTAAATACATGTAGCTTGAAAAGAAAACAAAGGAACTATATTTCTGACTTTTCATATTGGTGGCATATCTTTGCAGTTGAACCACAACTGAGTCTCAAAGTAGTCGTACTTCCATTATTAAACCGCATATTAACCACCCTTCCACACTGATAGGGTGAAAAAGCAGTAAGTCAGAGAAAAACCAAGAGAACTCATACTTGCCAAAATAATAAGACACCCCCCCCCCCAACTCTCTGAAAATGGTGAGAAACAAAGAAAAGGTAAAACACCAGTCATTTTAACTTTATGAGTCATGGACAATGGACTAGTATAATATTTTGCAGAAAAATGAAGAACATCTGTGGTCATGTGACCATCAGAAACAAGAGGTTTTGATATTTCATTCAGTAAATGAAGTTTTTTTAAGGGAAGAAGAGACATTTTACAAATATTTTGCATTTTTACTCTTACTTTCCATTTTGACACTCCATGTGAGGTGAAATCCATTACTTGTAAGGAAAAAACTTTTCAGATCTTCAGGCAGCAACAGTGAGTTTTTCTGGAATGCAATTTAACAGCATAAGAGCATGTTCAAGTTTAATTTGATAAGTGAGGAGTCCGTGGAAAAAAATGGGAATAGTCACAAACTGAAAATTGTAAAGAAGTGGATATTTATACGGCAGGCCGTCAAAAAATCGGAAGTGATAATTCCACGGCACATAAATTCAGCCAATCAGAACATCCGGACTATTTATAATTAAGCCTATAATCTCTTTTCCATAATATAAGTAACGCATTATAGAGATACAATTTAAGATACCTGTATGTTAAGTTAATAATGTTTATCCTTTGCTATCATTTTGTTCATTATGAATAATGATTAAATGTTTTGTGTGATTGTAACGAGAGTGAGAGATGCACAATTTATTTTGTGCTAGCAAAATGGAGAGAAGACTGTTTTTTTTCCAACAGTAAGGTGCCCATTTGCGGATGGGATCGAGTCGGGTCGGGTAGGGATGATCACCCGACTCGTTGCCGGGAAAACAAACACAATTCTTGCATTTATACACTTCAAGCAGAGTCTATGCCGCCGAAATATCAATTCCGATCTTTAGACTCAAGACGGCATACTGTATAGGTGTCACAACTTATGTTCAGACAACATGCCGTGCAAATATCAACTACGATTTTCAGACGGCAGGCCGTGGAAATATCGCTACCCAAATTGTAAAGGTATCAATTTTGAACGCTCAACCCATAACTGTATATCTCTTCAACTGTAGGTTGATTATTGTTGTTAGATTTCTTATTCAACAAATATATAAAATAAACCACCAGTAAAACAAACATGAAGTTATGAGTCCACAAGCTTTTATAATTGACACCCTCACAATTTCCAGTTTGTGACTATGCCAGTTTTTCCCGTGGACCCCTCAATTGTATTGACGGGTATAACACCTCTTTCAACACTGTGAGGTTATTTCACAGGACAGACCTCCGAACTTCATATTCATTTCTGATAGGAACCAGTCAAGAGGATGGGGAGCCTTGAGAACTCCCCAAACAATTCAAGTGCCTGTCAAGTACGGGTTCAAACCAAGGCCATTCGAACTATGGCCTAACATGACATCAATTGAATTAGCGGAGCACCTTCAAGTTTAATTCATATAGAACTACATTCAAAAAGGGCAAATGCATTAATTAATACAGGACCATCATATGAACCATCATTTTATGATTATAATGCCTATGAGCAATTTCAAAGTATCCAAGAATCTTCAGCCTTTTTCAGAGTCTAAAAGAATCATCAGACACCTTTCAGTGAGCATGGCTATTCCACACTGACATACCAAGTTGCCAGCCAACTGGACCTCATATGGTCAGGTATAAAAAACATGGACACACTATCTGCACACACTGGACATGGATTTCAAATCTGCCATAAGCTGACAAGACGCCTTTTTTTCTTCAGAACAATTTCGAGAAAAAATGTCACCATAGCCATTTTAAAATAGTCATTCCACAACTTAAATTCTGATTTATTAAAAAACTAGTCACAGTTTTTATTTGATTTTTTTCCACACAAGTAGGATAACTGATCATGCTATCGATTTAGCTAATAAAAAATTCTGACGCCAAAATGAAAAAATAAAGGCAGAAATATTCACAAGAGATGACATATTTCGTACACATTATAATAATTATAAAACAATATTAGTTCTTATTACAACTGTAAAATTCCATTTAATAATAATGAAATGATCACAAAAAGAAACAGGTTCTTTTACAAAATATCACTATTATGTTTATCAGCAGCCCAGTAAGATTAGAGAAATCAAATTGACAAATGAGCATCTTGGAGAACGAAATGGAAGAGCCAAGTAGGGCGACGAGCCACATCCACATCCATCTAATGCAAACTTCTTCTGAGTGCTTGAAGCAAACACCTACAAGCAAACACACACCAGCATACACACACACACAAACACACACACACCAATGGCTGGGTGCAAGATTCCAACAAACACCAATGCCGTGCATTTTTGGGGAGTCTCGTATCTAAAACTACACACACACACATACACACACACACACATACACACAAACACACACACACACAATCCACAGAGATACAGCCGAACCAATTCTAATGGCCATGTATGTCCTCAACAATTATCACCTCCACATACGACCACTTTCCATCCCACTTGTGTTATTTCTAATATATATTTGACACTGTCCAAGATGTCCACCAGTCTAAGAAAAATTCTTCTCCTTGACAATGGTTGGGCATCTCCGACATTATATACAATACAAACTTACTTGCTCCCACATTAACACTGCAGGCTTCTCAGCTGGAGATTTGATTTCATTCTTAACCTGACATACTCCAGTCTTGTTCTCTGAAACAAAGCATCATGTAAAAGTACAGTTACAAGTCTAACATACAAAAAAGCAAAAGCGTAATCACAAAGTACAGATTCACAATTGCACTGACAATATATCAAAAATACGATATATTTTTTATTGTGGGCATTATTTAAATAACTGCTCCCAATCTTTGCTATGTACCTGTCCCTTTTGACAACAATTATAATGGAAATCCAAAATGCACATAAAAGAGTTGGTAGTAAAGGAGCTTCAATCAGCTTAAATAGACAGAGGAACAGAAAAGAGGGTAAGAAAAGAAGGGAGAAACACAAACAAGGTGGCAGAAAAACAGATTACTAGAGATAGAAGACGAGACTCAATAACCATAGTCTATTGTCAAGGAATAAAAGCTGTAGGCCTGTGCATAACCACAGCCAAACATGCCATATGCATATGCAATTATTTATAACAAACAGCTAGAATGGAATCATAAAACGTACTATACAAACTCGGGATCGAGAATTCTGAGTTACCTCGATGGATTCAGACTATGACAAGTTAAAAGAGAATTAGAATATGACAAGTTTTCCTAGGAAACACGAATTGTGCCAGTGTGATGGTAAATCAGCGAGGTAAATTCTGCACCTGAACGATAAAATACGACCAAATCTAACATTTAAAATAGACCAGCAACGATCACAAATAGACCTGGAGATCTTTCTTTATACCAACACAGAGTAGCGATTAGATCTAGATCTATATATCGAGATCTAGATCTAGATTTAGATATCTAGAATCTAGATCAAGAATCTAGATTCTAGATCAATTCACAAGCAAAATAATATTCTGAAAAACGTTAGTTAAAGTGCCAGGGAAAGTGTCAACTCACCAAGGTACTTTACAACATTTATTGTCATCTGCTCTATGTAGCTCTTGACTTTAAAGTCACTCATGTTGCTTAGGTACAACAACTATGACCAGATGATATGAAATCGACCTCCGCAAAATATATCACGAATTTAAAGGCGCCTCAACAATCCACTACATTTGACAACCTAGTCTACCACTGCAAGAGTGGACTGCTCGTACTCGCAAGCGTCTCGTTGCTAGAAGAAGCTTGTTTCTACTTCCTCTTCGAAGGTAAATTTGCGCATGCGCAATGACGAGGAATGCGTTCTTTTACTTTCGCTTTCCGAAAATCGGGAAGAAAGTGACCCATCAGACCGGAGACAAAAAAGTAGCCTAGTCATCTCCGATCAGACCCCCCTCCCTTGATCAAAATTGTGATTTAAAAAAAAAGAAAGAAAGAAAAAGGACCGGGAGAAAAAAACTTTACAAAGTTTTGTCTGAATAACTCGCACGAAATTGTGGGTATTTTTTTTTTACTCATGGACCTGTTTCAAGCTTAGATAATATTATTCTAAAACGCTTTTCTAGTTCATTTTTATCTGCTTTACCCATGTTGATTTTCTGTCAATTGCAAATTTTTAGTGTATGAGATTATGGATATTTTTATACGAACTATTACAATGGGACCAATGGCGATCAAATCACCCTAATTTGATGATTTCGCAATTAGGATTGATAATAACAATACTTGAAAACAATTGATTTGGAGGGGTTTTATTGGTAATATATTATGCGTGTTCTACAGCAAAAATGATGGCAGTAATTAGCCCCCAAAACAATGACAATGCATCAGCGGCGGGTCTAAATGTAAAAATTTATCAAATTGTGCTAGAATGTTGTATTTTGGAACAGACGTAATTCATTCGGCATGAATTTGTTTGGCATAAAATTCATGTATGTAACTTATTCTTGAAAACGAAAAGGACACATAAACAGTAATAAACACCCATAAACACAAAATGAGCAATTTCAAAATATGTTGTAAGGAAAATCATGAACCGACTGGTTTTGTTGTTGTTGTTTTTCAACCTTTTTGTTTCAGCCATCCCTGTAACATTTAACTCTTCTGTACGTCGTGTTTTACTATCGTATTCATACGACGTGGGAAACTCTGTGCCGCCACTTTCCAAAGAGGAAATTTCGTTAATCCGATCAGTACGCTTTGCATTGCAGTCTGTCTAAATGACTTTTTGAGAAATACTAAAAGTTTCAAAGAGATCTTCGTACAAGAAAGAAGTATTCTAAAATGTGAAGGATACAAACACGGGGGTATAAAATGACCTCAGGGCGTACGGATATGGTTAAGCAATACTTCATATTATTATTATTATCATTATTATAGCGGTGCCTCGCAAGACACGCCAATTCAATTCCAGAGGCGCACCGTGGGTCTTCCACTTCACTACCAGACCCGAGAATTGAGTTATAGAGCAGATCTCTGATCTCATCTAATGCGGCCCATACACGATCAAATAATAAATATACTGTGCAATCCTGGTAGCACAATAATATTAATTGACAGTTTTTAGGTTGCCCACACAGCTCAACATGATTGACACTTAAATTGCGCAAATCAGGCTCTGTTTGGTCTTGCAACCCGTTGAGACAGGATTATGGGTGATTTTGACCCAGCAATCGTTGTGGCAGTTACTCTTGCTACATAAAACATAATATTAGGTGATTTCTCAAAACGGAAACATGCGAAATGGTCAAAAGAATGGCTTCTGCAGCTTCCAAAGTTCAGACACACAAAATGACTACGTGAACTGAGCCATAATGAGCTACAGGATTTTCAAAACTTTCTGCGCATGGATGTCGGATTCTAAAATGAGCTGTTGCTAATGGTAATGACCCACGGTACGCCTCTGAATGCAGACTACAATATTTTTCTGAGTCAAGGCTTTCTTCAATTCTTTCCGATAATTTGTTCTGTAGTCATTTATTTATTTTTTCTTTCTTTCTTTTTTTTTTAGGGACATCTTCTCTAGTATAGCTTTGGTACTTTTCCTGGAATTAAAAAAATAAAAATAATACGCCGTAAGCTGCATCTTTCCTTTGTCTGTTGTTGTAATCGTCAAATTTCACTTTCCATAGGGCTGGTAAAGTTTTGTAAATCTCGATACATGCCAATTGAAATGCCTTGTCTTCTGCTTTATCAGACAGCCTGGACATGATGAGAGTACGAAATGTGGAAGAAAAATGACTTGTGCACGATTTAATTGAAGGTAGCCACTCACAGTCAATTAAATTGTGCAAGCAAGTAGACGCGCAATAAAACTGATCAAACTGATTTTGATTGACTCAATACATTTGCGCAAGTCGCCAATATCGCCCATACATAGTCAATTTAATCGTCAATTCCGAGTATTGATAATAAAATTGCACTATATAATTGATTGTGTATGGGCCGCATAATTAAGAGCAAAGGCGCATTCCTGTGTTTCATAAATCCTAGTTTATTCGACACAAGGATTCATTGAAGGCTACTTTTTTGTTTGTTTGAAGTAAGGGGTTTGGTCACGTATCGTCGCCCTCTCTCAGCCGTAAACACTATCGACCCCACAATGTGAACGACAGTGAGCTGGTCTCGCGGAGACCTTAGCGTTTACAAAACACTGCCCTCCTCTTCACACTCTCAAATTTTTTTTTTTTTTAAATTTAACTTTTCCCTCAGCCACTCGAACTTGGTGGATTAAAAGAAGAAAAATAAATTACCTACCTTTAGAGATTAAAAACGAACAAACGTCCAGTAAGAGGTGTATGGGGGAGAGGGATATGATGAGGGGGGGGACTCAAACTCCAGACAGTGAAGAGAGAGGGGGGGGGGAGTAGGGATGGGGGTTTGGAACAAGGGTATATCGCAGTCTATCTCGCGCCAGAAGTGAAGGGGTTAATGAGCGACACTGTAGTCGCAAATTCATATTGACGTCCGTTACTATTGATTGGGTAATCAGTCAGAGCGGCCATTCATATCACTTAGATGGCCTGCTTATTCGTATAATAATCCGAGGATCACTCTGTTGTGGGAGGGGCTAGCGAATTATGACAGTACCCACGCCTCCCTCACCAGCGGCGCAAAATTTGTCACCGAGTAGTCAACTTGGGAAGGGAGGGGCTTATCATAAGGACAGATGAATGGATTATGACGGGTCGTCCGACGGCTTGTCCACAGTTTGGTGGGCCGATCTCTACTTAATAGAGACCAAATCTTTTTTAAAACAACCAAACTCACAAGTACATATATTCAGAAAAAAATTGTTATATAAAAGCATAATTAGAATATAGGTAATAATTATTGTCCCGATAGTTCCATACAGTAGCCACTCAATGATAAATTGATTAGACTATTTCTCCATGGTATCCGCGCCACGAAGCGGCGCTGGGGTTGTTGTTTTTTTTTGTTTTTTTTTGGTTGGGAGGCGGGAGGGTTAGATATTTACATAACGGTAGCGACCAGGAGGAGCAGATATCAAAGTGGTTTTTCCAAGCGTGAAAAGGCACTCTCTTGTCACCTACATCACACCCCTGGGGTATGACAACATTACACAAGGAGACGCCAGTCTGGCGACCCTCAATGGCAGGCGGGCACGGGCAAAGGTCAAGACTTTCAGCCAATCACATCGCTTGACCACCGCTGGTGAAATTGAGAATGTTATTTTCCCCAGGGAAAAACTCTTTTACTGGTTACAATAAAACAACAATTAACAAAAACCCCACAAAAATGTTACCAAGAAAGGGAAGTTAGGTGATAATCTTTACAAAAGATATGGTTGGTAGATTAATAATTTTGTCAACGTTTATAACACTAAAAAGAACTAATACGATCCAACAGAAAGTATCAACACTTACATAACAACCCCACAAAGACGAGACCATAAGTCATGTTATCCCGCAAGTTTGACAAGCTTTTTTCAGGGAAATAAATAGTGGGGGGGGGGGGGGGGGGGGGGGGAGCCATTGAACATCTAAGAGTAAAAATACAAACAACTTAATTTCAAGACATATAAAACGTTTTTTTTTTCTTTAAAATGATATATTAGATCCACGTGCGTGTAGCCAGAGTCGCATTATAATACATTGTATACGGAAAATGTGGATAAAAACAGGTAAAATCGTGTCTTAAGAAAGAAAGACAGAAAAGGTAATGATATTAAGTTTTAAAAAATAAAAACTTGTTATGATCACGGCCTGGACACGTGACTGTGATACTCACGTGGCTTATGCCCTTGGGGTATTAAGGCGTTACCTCAGCTCAGCCAATCACATCGCTGGACCACCGCTGGTGAAACTGAATGTTATTTTCCCCAAATTAAAACTCTTTTACTGATTACAATAAAACAAAATGTAACAATAAACCCACAAAAAATGTTATCAAGAAAGGGAAGCTAGGTTATAATATTTACAAAAGGTACGGTTGATTAATACTTTGTCAACGTTTATCCCTCTGAAAGAAGCTAATACAATCCAACAGAAAGTATCAACACTTACATAACAACCCCACAAAAACCAGACGCTAACTCGTGTTTCCCCGCCTTTTTGACCACCATTGTTCTTGGTGATGTTTAAACCGGAGGGACAAAACTAAAATTCAGTTCATTTCGTTAGCGGGGTACACAACGTGTTGACATCGACATTGTCTTCAGATTTTGTGGATATACACGTCGAGTCCCAGACTTTCTCTGCCTTGTCTTTTATAAACCGTGTTTGGCGACAAAAGTGGTGTTGACTTCTGCAGTTTGAGACTGTCACAAAAGTGTCTACTTGTTTTTTCTTGCCTGAGCAAAAGCTGAATAATTTGTGGATATAACGAGACACAGGAAGATTAGCTGCTCAAAGTAAGTCAATGTTTCTTTTTCTTTTCTTTTTCTTTTTAAGCTTGCCGTGATGTCCTGTGAATGAACAATCAGTTTACACGTGTCTATGAAAGTGATGTTATCATTACAATAAATGTATTTGGATTTTTTTTACTAAAGGAAATGATTTCAATTCCGTACAGGGAAGATAGACTCTACAAACTTTAAAACTTTTAATTCATTCTGAATCTCACCCTGTAATGGCCGCCCTTTTCACTCCTTCACTCTCTTTATGCCTTTTACCGCGAAGCCGTCATCGTTAAAATAATGGATAAGCTAGCTTTGCTCAAACCCCCAACTAAAGTTTCAATAGCGTTGACAGAACTTCTTCAAACAATGTTTTTATTTTACTTCAAACAAATATATTATTTTTTTGCTGTTGTGGTAAAATCGTGTTTGAAGAAAATAGGACCAAAAAAGGTAGTAAAATGAAGTTT